GGCAATGTACGAAAAACGCTCGCAGAGCATCAGGCTCTTACAAAACTTCTGGCAGACATTCTGGATTTTGCGTTCGAATTTGATTATCTAAAGGTACGAAATCACCGTCAATAACATCGATGTCGCGTACTTTTTTCATAAACGTCTTTGCCTTGTAGATGAAAACCCCTTCTATCCAAAATGATTTTTCGTATTATCGACGTACGTTAAGTCGAGGAAAACTTGCGGCAGAGGTCAGTGGCTATGATTGTCCGCATGTTTATACTACAGGATCGGATAACTGATATAACCACCATTTATTTGCTCTCATCATAGACGGACTTAAAAACCGCCATGATCGAGGACGAACTCGCCAACAGAATTTCGTTGTTCTACGCCTATCCAACCCCAATGTTGAAGACTGTGACGGACGTGACTGCTCTGTTTGTTGCAAAAGTAAGTGGCGTTGTGAGACTTTCCTCGTGTCCCCCCTATGCACATTCATCACATTCCTACCTGCTATAGAACAATCTGGGTAGAGGCGTGTCAGAATGTTTATCAGGAGTTGCTGCTTCTTGTTATCACGCAGTCACAAAGAAAAGGTACAGTTATTGCGCGTCGATTTTGGCGGTTTGTACGACGTCTTTATATTATGCCTAACAGATAATGTCATACTAGAGCCCAAAAGCCAGAAACCATCGCATTCTGCTTAAGAGTGATGGTTGTATCTATCATTCTCTATGATCACATCGACCCACAAGGAGCATTTAATAAACAATCACCTATCAACGTAAGCGTTCCGTGGCTAACTAGTTATGGTATGCATTTTTGCTTTGTTAGACACTAATTGCATTCTCTTTCCGTTATAGATAAAATCAACCGTTAAAGCCATCCAAACTCATGGCACGTCTGAACTTTCTAATTTGATGTCTGCACTGCGATTTAACACCAAACATTTAAATGACGAATCTACGCCAAAGAACATAAAGCAGCTTCTGAGCAGTCACTGACTTACCTAATCGCAAGTAAAAGACTTTCCAGCAAATTTTCTGTCAATATAAATATACACACGCATATTCATATAAACGTCGCATATTTAACTATCATCCGCATAACGTTCTTTGCCATACTGTATTGATTCTTAATACAAGTTATTCTTTTTCTTCGTTTACTCTTGTTTTTAATTTTGTCTGGGAATAACTAGAACGGTTGGTTGGTAGGCTGGGCCTGCTCGGTAACTAGGCTGTATTAATATTCAATGTGGGTTTTCTGGAATGATTGGTTTTTTGTATGGGCATTAACGGGGGTTCTGGTATTGCAGCTTATAGTAAAATGACATTGCATTTCCCTATTATTTTGAGCATGTAGATATAGCTGGAGTATCGGCACAATTCAAACAGTTTTACGGGTAATATACTATATAACATCAGTTATGCTACTCAATTGCTTGTTCTTTACGGGTGGGTCGAGTCGACTGATGTCCAACATAAGGATAGCGAATCCTTATAAACTTGAATGGTGAAGTATAGTAAAAACCTTTAATTTTTGAAATCTATTATCTGTAAGTTACACCGATTGAAAATGAGCTGTACAACGAACGAATTATAAGGGTTGTAGTTGAAGTTTTAACATCCAGTTTATTCGTAACTTGTTGAATCTTCTCACAGTTGCCAGGCGTCAATTTATAGCGTGGCCCTTTTTTTACAGTGGCCGTCATAAATATCCGGATATTTATTATTATGACGACTACTGTATTTGACAGGAAAATTCGAAATTGTTGATGCAGTTTATTGGTGCACGAGATTAGTCTAGAACATACATTAACATGCCCAGTACCCAATCAATATATTTGCCTTCTTAAATGATAGTATACCAACCATGTTAGGCTGGGCTAATCGCACGTATTCAGATCATTATATATAAGAATATCCTGAGAGTGCATTCTAGAAAAATTGGGGAAGAAAAATACCGTGCTAGTAAAATTAGTCTTCCGAATAGTGATAAGACGGCCATGATCTTTGAATTGAAGTTTGGAAAGCCGTGTATTTAGATAACATTGTTACTCGAAAACTTATACGGCTTCGTTCACTTGCCGAAATCTTTTTATTTGTTTATTATTATAATTAGTATGCAAGACCACGTTAATTGATCTAATGAATATGCTATAGCCATATATTTATAAAATTCATCATGCAGTGATGATGCGACGTTCTATAATAATAATAATAATAATAATAAAATATTTGTTACTAATCTATGTAGACGTTTCCTGGCGATTAGTGATGATATATGAAGTAAAAAGTGGGTTCTGCACAAAACGTCAACGTTATGCATATAAGAATAAATCTCCCTCCATGCATCCCAATACTAACAACTGGTTAACTGGCAAGATGCTCAAAGATGTAATAGATGATTTAATTGTTGAACTTCTGAATTTGGATGAATAGGCTTGAAACTAAAAAAAAAATATTTAGTAAACTGCATTCAACGGTGCCGAATACAATGATTTATACTCACATTCTCGTTTAACGGGGTAAACGTTATCGTGTTACTGTTGTTAATAGTGATGAGCTCATCCTTGTACATATTTAAAGCAACAATATCACTGGTGACTATAAAATATTAAAGATATCGATAAATACTTGTGACAATCTGTGCATATAAACTATCGTATCAATCAACACTCACGTCGTATAGTCTTAATCAAAGTCACTGTATCAGTATCCCAGATGCATATCACGTGGTCATCAGGTGCACACGTTACGAGATAATTATTTGCAAAGAACCTCAACTAGTGCAGACAGAACATTGTTAAGTTAGTGCTGCTAGCATTGAACCGTCTCAATCAAATAACTACTCACGTGAATAATGTCGGTATCTCCGGCCTTCCAACTACCAACTAACATGCCCGTGCGAGACTCGAGTAACGATACAACGCCGCTTGAAAACCCTACCGCTATCAAAGTTTCGGCCGGATTTGTACATACGACCTTTATGGTTCCTGCGAAGGTAACTCCAGTTAACATGACAATGACATCCGATTATATTACAATCTCTGTTCATATATGTATCCACGTACCGACAAATGCCGCCGAACTCCTCCAAGTATGTAAAAGACAGTGATTGAAAGTATCAAAGAATCTACATATTACAAAAGTTCAGAGAACTAGATGAAGAAGCATAAATTCAATCATCAACACTCACGTGACTGTAGTATCAGAGAGCCCCCCAACAAGATAACGTGTTCGAAATATTGGTTTAATTGAAATATACGGTGTTCTCATATTACCCAATTGATGAAGACTTCGTCCCGTCTCAGGATCCCATAACTAGTTGAAACGAACAGATGCAGTGAGTGAATACACGCACGACGAATATTCTTAGCAATATATGCAGATACATGCATGAATTTGACCATCGCAGCTAGTAACAATGTCTCCCAATCCCGCACTGCCGCCGGCCCCAACAAAATAAACGTCGACGATGCTATTCTTCTTATGGCTGTTATATGTCAATAAACACTCCGAAAATGGCTCATTAATCGAATTCTCGATCCCATGATGGATGTCCAAAGACCATAATTTCACGGTGCGGTCTCGTGAACCGGTGGCAATAACACGCGCGTTTTCATTAGTGCCAATGCTACAGATTCTTGAAGAATGACCTATAAAATAAGAGGCAACGTCAAGCATATAATCCATCAACAATGCAGAACGAATAGCAACTACACACCTAAATATGTACGTAATTTGAGATCATTGAACGTGAATTGCATCGAATTCGACATCTCCTCTAATTCACCATAAAACAACATCAGCATCAAACACATTTCAAAATAATAGTAGAAACGGCCCACTAACCTGAATTTGTTGATAAGTATCTGTTCCAATTCCTGATACAATAACTTATAATGAGCACAAATTTATAATTTACAGACAGCATAAATACTGTGAGTGCTACCTTAAATCTTCCTCGGATGTGGATTTGGTCTTCCGTAGCAGATGTGACGACTTATGTTTCGGCCTTAATGGAAATCAATAAATTATCATAACAGCAAGTGATTTTCGTTCAGTAATTAAGACTATCTCAGGATTAGTAAAAGACAATAATCTCAATCAATATATTGTGTAATACCTTTCAGATATGGAGGCGTTAGCCGAAGCGGCTGTCAAGACATTTTTCAGTGAGCCTACAGTGAAGCTTCGAACAGGATGTTCGACATTCTTGTCATTGCTTTCGAATAATTTCTTGTTGTTATCGTTACCAAAAAGGGAAAACGTCCTATTGACACTAAATCCTGATGTAGTAACAATAGCTGTATCCTTATGGGCGCTTGTAAGTGCAACTTTCTTATCATCAAACGCCACGCTTTTTCTCGATAGTATAGAGTCCCTTACAACAGGTGAGGCCGAGACGTGCACATTTCCTATATTTTTGCTATTCGCACTACTGTCTGACAAAGGGGATGCGACTCTCAAAGGTATAGTTTCTTCAGATTCAAAGTCATCATACATCATGTTCTCAATTATATCACTATCGAGAGAAGGTTTTAGAATAGCTTCCATCTTTAACTATGAATAGTAACAACAATGCATACCTGACAGGAATGGCTCTACGCATGGACTCTTGCCCAACCAATATACAGAATTGCGAGTATGCATATACTGTCTGCTGTTTTTTAAGCGCGATCAAGATAGTGCCGATAACAACTGCAAACGAATATTATTAAAAAGGCGCTTGCCGTATTACAATACCTGATGCCTTCTTGGCTCTTTCAAATGAGCATATTCCTCCTTATCCGAAGACGTTAACGAACTTTTATGAAGGTTTTCGAATTCGGCGAAATACTTTCGTAGCATAGGAACTATCTAATAAGCCAAATTTTGGTAAATCATTACGCACTAATAATATCCCTGCAAATTTTGTAATAAAGGCGTACTCACATGGTTTTCCCATTCTGCCTTGCCAATTATATGAGTAATGTGAAGGAGGAAATCTATGACTCTCTGGGAAACTATTAATCGATCTCTCGACGCGGAAACCAAAGTGTTTGAGGTCCTGGCATCCTCATGGATAAGAAGTCGCTCAAGGATATTTGCAAATCCTGACTCCAATTCTAGAACAATCTTGTTCGCCGATATTTGCAGTGCAAGCTGTAACGTAAATTTGTTAAAACATAGAATATTTAATCACGTCACGGGCAATTGCATAATAACCTTCTCCAAAAGTGTGATGTGATTGCATAAAATTGAGCAATTTTTGGCATTGAGCTGGGAACTATATGAATCAACTATTGTAATTATATGCGCGTATTGCAAGTGAGTAAATGTCTCCCCAAATTGATTACCTAAACGAAAATAATTACAGTTAACATGCAACTCAACAAAGAAGTTACCAGATTCATGAATACCACTACTTACATATTGCAATAATTGCTTGAATGGTATATGACAACGCAGAACCTTCTTTAAGAATCTGTCTGTATACTTGTTTCATGACATGCTTAGATGTGAGAATTGGACCTATTAATGTACTATAAAGCCAAACTGTAATCATAAGAATCGATTCCATTGTCATTATATTAACACATCTTGCATAACTGTGCATTTATCCTACCAGACATCGACTAGGGCGGAGCTGGCCAGTCGCGCTACTGACGGGATAGATTGCTCGCAGCTAGCATCGGTAGGCGATACTGGACTTAAAGTAAGCTCCAATTCGTTCAGGTATTTTGACTGAAATTCAGATGTCGACGCAAGCGCAGCTACTGGTTGCCCATCAATAGTCAATGATTCCAAGTACAATGGAAATAATTGTTGCAAAAAGTTTGGTATCCCAAAACGACACAAGAACTCTCCAATGATTAAAGGGTCAAATAAAGCCATTGGAATTGACGAGCGAGATGACTACGTGCAAGCGAGGAAGATTGTTGACGAATACTCAAGATAGTAATTTACGTAACGACATGCTAAGTCTCAAGATAATAATATTCATATAACGTTGTTACCTCGAACAAACTAATTATGGGTTTCAGAAGATGGTTTTTTGTTTCGTCCGGACCAAGTCTTCGCCCAAGTTTGGGGAATATATCCAATGCTTCCTTTCTTGTATCGCTATGAACGAATAGGAGCACCAAACTGGGCAATATCATATTGAATGCCTGTATTAAGCAAATGAATAATCGTATTTAACACAGAATGAACGACATTTAAAAATGGCAACGGTTGTGTCAAACTTAAACCTCATCATTCAAGTCACAAATTTTATCCATAGATCGTTCCGCAAGCTTAATCTTGTCTTTCCACTCACTAATAAAATAAAAACGTTAAATCCACTCAAAGTAACATAAAATCGAAAGATATTAAGCATCTTACTATCGGTGAAAGCTTGTCAGAAAATCATAGACTTCGGGGATACAATCTGGAATTGGGAGTGTAGTTCTGTTGTCACATAACATAATGGCTGGTACGGACGCATAAAGGATGGCATCAACAGAAGGTCGCTCAGTCCAGTCTGGCGACAGCAATGCACTGATGACCTCTTTCACAGAAATTGGCACCTAGAGAACAAGTCCAGCTTCATTATACAACGTGCGAAGTTTGGAAAACCCTTCGACAATAACAAATTCGCTTACTTGCAACGAAAATATATTGTCATCAGGGGGATCGGGCACAATGTCACCATCTTCGTAAACTGGCTGAGAAACGATTATTTGTGATAAAGTTGTGTTGGTTGGTGAAGTTTCATAAATATTCAGTAGTATCTTTCCCAAGCAGTACATGTCCCATGCTCTCGCGTATGCAAACAAATTTTCTGAATCTGCCATTGGCAATATATTATTCGGGCTGATTACTTCCAAATTATTTGTATGGTTGTCAGTTGGATTCAGGTGACGGTACTTGGCAGCAAAAGAATGGGCAAGTTCAAAATGTGAGAGCTCTTCCGTGAACATGTTTTCTGACATATCTTCAGGTAGTTGTATTGGAATCGAGTTCATCAGATTTATCAGATGTTCCATGCGCATCAAGGCGTCTTTCGAATCAGGCAACGAAGCAGTCGGAATATCCCTATCACGTACAATGGCCACATTCCCAAATTCATACAAAGATGCAGGTCTCGGAGACGTCACTTGCTTCGACAATTTAGATCGTAAGTTTACTGTAGGTTTCCCAATTACTTTTTCCGTAGTAGGAAGACTTGATATCAACACATCAGAAACTTTATCAACAAATTGTTGTGCACCCACTGTCTTGTCAAAGAAAGTATCTCGTGGCAACAATCGCCTTTTGGAAGATATGTAGTCGTATCTCTCGATAGAGTTTTTGGTCTCGGTTTGGCGCAACAGAAATTCTCTATATGTTAAAGTCGAGTGGTCATTTACACAAAAATATTCGGTTGATAGACATAATGATCTGTGGAGAAAAAAAAGGAAATAACAGTTGCCTTCGTGTTTGATTCCAAGATACAGCTCGCTGAGGATGAGGATCAGAGAATAGTTGTGTTATTCCATGTTTCATAAAAGAATCTTGCCCATCCAAAAGAGGCAATGCAACGTTTTTTGCCTTTACGGCATCTTCGCCTAGTAATAATCAGATACGTTCATTAACATAAAAGTATTTTTCTACTGCTAGGACGTAATCTGATGAAACCTATTCAAAAATAACGATTACCACTTAGCTTGCAACCAAAAGTCAGATCAATCCAATGATGTAACTGACTAGACACATAATCACTCTCCAGTGCCTCAGCATGCAGTTGAACAAATTCTTCGGGAGATGAGGCCCATCTTTAAGAAACATACATTTACCAAATTAATACTATTATATTATTAGCGTGCGTGTATTCCCGTTAATACTTGCAATGGTAATTGAAGATCGGGCATGTCCGGATGAACTGATTTGAATATACTGGGATCTTTATTCGAAATAATAAAGAGTGAGCAAATGTGGTGCTTTTACAATATCAAAATTCAAAAAATTCATCAGGCCAAACTCGAACCTGTATAGAACTCTGGGATGCATTCATCTGGAGTCCATTCGAACAACCTTTGAAGCGAAGAAGGGTATTCGTTAGGTTCATATTTCGTCCGGACGTACTGACACAATACCTAGAAAGTCATCATGAGAAAAATTCAACGTGCGAACATCAACGGGAACTTTCACAATTTGTAACTCGAGACGAAATAGCTTTTCAAACTCACTGGAATTGGTGTTTTCCGTGCAAGATAGACGTAGTATGTTATGTCTGAAAGAATGTCTGTAATATGATGTGGTACTGGGCCATCGAAGGTGAAGTCCAACTGTTCATCGCCTTGTGGACATATACAACTTGTAAGATGCTAACTCTCTGGCCTGTTTCCTTAATCAACAGAAGGCTCACCTTTGTTAAGGCGATATTTGGTTTTCGTAAAATCACGCCAATTTTGTGAAATTGTCGGGCCAGTGAAATCAGTAATCCAGGGGAAAATTAGGTGAAAATTCGGATCTCCAATACGGCGTCCTTATTAGGTAATCAATGAGCGCAATTAGAAATTTACTAATACATCTTGGAGCTGATTTTTTGCTATTTACCTGCCAACTGGTTTAATGCCATAATATAGGAAAAGTTCGATATATCACCACGAACCCATTTCATAATCAGGCTCTCGTCGGGTATCTCTTTGAAATATAATTATAGACATCAGTACAGGTACTCATAAAGAGCAAGAAAGTAATGATTAAGGACCAAGCAACTACTTTTCGTAATATTCTAGATTTAGAAAGTCATTATTCGGAATAACTATGTTCAGACCTTTTGGTATATTTTGTAAATACAGTTCTTTCTGCTGGCTTTCATACGGTGTCATTGCTTGCTCACTTGTACTTGATTTATCCCCTATAGAAAGTTCAGAGAAATAATCTCAAGTCATTGAATTTTAATCAAAAGCAACGATATCATTCATAGATACAATACCCACAGAAACCTCCATTTTCCTGACCTGAGCTGTTCACATTCAGACTAGTAACAGGAGATTGGCGTAAATCAGATAGAGATGGCACACGGCACTCAAAGCCTGTCAATGAAATCCAAAGATTCTCATCCACAAGAATATTTGATAGTTTGAGTCTTAAAAGTCGGAAACTATGTTAGAAGCAAATCGATGCATATCGAGGATACTCATATTATCTTAAACGTACCCTCCATGAACCACACCACGTTCGTGTAGACTTTTAACACTATGTAGAAGTTGGTATACAATAAAGGCTTTTTTTACGTTAGAGTTAAGAACACCAGAGCTGTATTTGAGCAAGTCTTGTAGGGTTGTGCCTTTGTAAGATGCAAGGAAGTAATATGCTCGACTAGATTCAATAACTGCAAATATATCGATTATGTTAGGACTAGTTAAAGTGGTGTCTGTCGAAACGCTGGATTTCTGTAGGAAGAGCACATCATTTGTCGTCTCTTGATCGATAACGCGAAAATACGCGCTATTTGGATATAATATGCTCAAAAATTGATCAACGAACACCTTTCAACAGAAATAATAGAAAATAAATAAAGGAATTCCTAGTTGAACCAAGGGAAACCATCCGATAAATTTGTTACATACCTCTTGTCGAGCTAATTGATAGTTTTCAAAGTCGTCGTTATCCATATCTTGCGGATCCAAGTCACCAAACAATGGCGAACATTCATCATAAATCGCTTCAATATCGGAGAGGCTAGCCACTGATCGACCTTCTATTTGCTCTTTGATAAACATCCGTATGGACGTAGTTGTCTCATCGTTAGAATCAAGCGAAAATGTTTCCCCATCTAGGTGGTACCTATTATAGAGCTGTGGCCTACTGCAAATCACATAAACGTAAAGTAACAGTCTAATAAATGGTCATATTAACTTTAATTCTCACTTTTCACTCACTTCTTGTTGTCGGCAGAGGCTCTCTTTAACAAGACGTTGATGGAGATGTTAGTAGTCAGTGCTTGGCGATCCTCACCAAATTCTTCTGATTCGTCAAAGTCATATGGGTAACGTGTAGTAGAATATCGTGGAAGGCTTATTTTTTCGCCGAATCGGGCTTGTTTCAATGTTTGAAGCCAATGCTTGTGAACCTATCATTTGAAGATAGAAGGGTTATGTTGATAATCCCAGCAGAATTCTTTGCTAATCTGCATTCTTCAACTGGTACTTGCCACGCAACAGGCACCAGTGCCCGTTTGCTCTTCTACTGAAAAGCAAGGAAAAGCAACATCTATGTGCAAGTCCTCGGAAATGATATCTGCGAGTTCTTTCCTGGTCAGTTTATCGATAGAAACCATCTTTACGCTGCGCGATTACCATTTGACACAGGGACAAAAAAAATCCGAACTATATTGTGTGACATTCTTATTATTATGTAATGTTCATAGCCCCAAAAAATTTATTATAAATCTGTTTATGAGTATTCGCTTTATCCAGGTATCTCTTGAAATATCTTTTATTCTAATAAAGATCAATAAGTTTAATTCACTCACAACATTAAATTAAAAAGAAAAAGCCAGTCAAAGGAGTAAAGTAGTCAGAAAGAGAGAAGCAACTGGAGTTGACAGACGGTGAGATTATAACGTGCAATCTACAGTCAAACCTCCTCGTTATACCAAATTTGCTTTCACCGAAGTATGAAACGATTAGCTGATGAGACGATTGTCACCCAATTGGGACGTTGACATATATGTCAAAGAATCGATGAGGTACTAGCACTGGCACTTCGCTATTCTATGCATCCTCTTAAAGACTTTGCCAAATTCTTATTAATAACTTTACATGGAACTCATCTACAGTAACGTGCAAAAATATCCCAAACGCTTTGAAAATATCCCTGCATAGTGTATAACAAACCCATTTTAAATCTGATGTCGTTTTAATCTACGCATTAAACTGTTGTCACTTAGTGCAAACGACGACTAAATAATAATAAGGGAATTTGATTTGACAAACTTCACTTACGTGCAATTCTGACATTCAGTTGAATGATTCTTAAATAATCAAGAAGAGGACTCTCTGAGTCATCCCTATCAAAATGCGAATAAGCTCCATCATTAGATAGAACAGATTTAATTTCTGCAATCAATAATTATTATTATATAAGAGAGACTGGTGTGAATATTATATTTATTAATAAATACATAATTAAATATATTGTTATAATAAAACATCACAATGAAAATTTTATCTTGCGAAGTCAATAAAGTACCAGTAACAGTTATACTAGATTCCGGTGCTAATTGTAATATTATAGGCGAGGCTTGAAAATCGATAATACCTCCGATACAGAAATATACAGTCCCATTAGCAAGTTCAATATATTGGGAATAATTCATGCAATAGAGATTTCGATCCTGTCTCCAAGTAAAAGTTACCGATATTTTTGTTTCTAATAAACCGCAATTTAAATTTGTACTGGTATTTGCGATGAAAGTGGATTTTCCAAATAAAACCCTTACATACTTGATGAGACTAATATACCATTAGTTATTGGACCAGGAACTCCGCCACCCACACAACTTAACCAGTCCATAGATAATTATTTCAAAAGATGATAAAGGTATATGCCACAAGACGAACGACGAGATTTTTACAAGAGGGGTGATTTCGCGTTTCTTAAGAGTATCAAAACCTCTGAAGAATTACCGGAGATAAAGAACGCGATAAATATCACCCGTGATAGATTATATTTTTGCATAATGTGCCTCTCGATGATAATTGTAAAAAAGATGTTAATTTCGTTTCCATCGATCCCGGGTTCTCACATGTTATGATCCAAATGGGAAAATTGTTGAGTACGGAAAGAATGATATTAGTCGCGCATATCGATTATGGAGGAGGTATGATAGATACCGAAGCTGTCAGTAAGTTGGAACATAACATGTTGTGACTTTATCAAGGAATTGCCATTGAAAGATCTGTGTAACAATTACAAGAAATACTCGAAAAGAGCGTTAACAATGAATTCAGGTTGTGCAAACGCAGTCACCGGAACGAAAGGTTTGGAAACGCCCGTAAAATGGTATCCACAACGTCGTCTCTAATCGGCGAACCAGACACTTCAATTGTAATGGCAACCCAACAAAATTCGAAAACCAAGAGAAAATTTAAGAGGAAGATCAAGAGCAAGGTAAGATTAGCGAGTATCCAGGAAGATTGTTGATACCATTACACATGCGGATGTTGCGGATATATCAAGAATGATTTAGGCGAGGCAAAGGTTGTAAATTGACAGAGATCATAGCGGCTCGTGAAACATCCGAGCCAGAGCGGGATCTATGATTAGTATGCTAACGATCGTTCTATAACCGTGACGTTGATAAAAATTATGGATGATCGGTTTTTCTGTAGGAGCATTCATAGGTACTTAGACATTATTAAAAGAAGATAGTTAGAAGCTACACCAAATTTTAAAAAAAAAATATGCATATAACATACAGTACATGTATTACAGATTTTGAGCACATAGAACCCAAGCTTTCTTTTCAGCTTTACGTAGCTGTGTCAACTACTTGGCTTTCCTCAGTCCGATCTTTCAGTACATTCGTGTTATTGACTGATACTGCCGACCACGCAACGATCTCTCCCAACTCCATCTTTCCACACTTCTATCGAAGTGAATTTGCTTCTCTCCATCTCCCTTATTATAGTCGCTCCCTGGTCTGCCCCAAATTCCATCACCAACCGCGGTACCACATTGTGCTCCTTCAGTCTTTTCAGTAAACCATTTGCCGCAAGATTGACAATTCGAGAATGAAAAGCAGTTCCATTGTCATCAGCTATTAATGCTATCTCATCTTCCCATAGTTTTACTTCATCACCCAACTTATCGTATTGTTCTCGAGGTATATATGGTGGGTTTGATAGGATCAAGTCAAATGCTGGTTGATTGTTTTGAACAAAACTTGCAATTTCGTCGTCATTCATTATATCAACTTTAGAAAAGATGACATCGTTCTTTATGAGATTATTAGACCGAAAAACCTGGAGATTTAAATTAGCTAGGATAAGAGCTTGCGAGGATATGTCAATGCCCCGGACAAAACAAGTATTTGCTGGCATATTATGAGCGAGTGACAAGGCGATACATCCACTACCAGTACAAACATCAAGAATATGAATTGGCTTTTCTAGGTAGTGGAGACGAGAATAGAGGAGAGATATCACACGCATAGTCCATTCTTCAGTTTCCCAGCTGGGGAGTTGAACGCTTAGCTATTAATGTGTCCAGTATGAGTGATATATCACTAATTTTTAAGAGTATTTACCGTGGAATTAACACGGGGGGTCTTGTGACAATGTCTAAGTTACAAAACGGTTGCGTACCTAATAAGAAGGAACAACAACGTCGGTTAGTGACTAGAAGAAAAGATGAATTTATTAGAATGTATGTACCCATTATGTATTGCAAAGGCTTTGAGTGGTCAACTCGGTCGGAAACCAGTTGACGCAACATCTTTTCTTCGTTTGCACTCAAATTTCCAGGCTTCATCACTGAATGGCTTCGAGTTCTTTCCATTACGTGCTGCTTGAGCCATTTCAATTCTTGTTGTGCTTGATTTGTGTCATCGTTACATATAGGAAGAAGTTTTTGTATGAACCGGTTCAAAATTTGTTTATATGGACGAGAGGATAACCTCCGCATTCTAATGCAGCGACACAAAGAATGATTAACAAAAACGGCAACTAATTTAAAGATAAATAAATACAAATAGGGCTATTATCTATGAACAAGTCAATGTCTGATCCATGTCTATTTAATATGCATATATATTATTGACTGTCATCATATGTCTATGAGTAAGGTGTCGTCATCAAAAGGATTTCGAGAATTCTCCCTTGGGCTTGATTCGTAAAATGGGTTAGTCGATTCCGATGTTCTTGGTGGAAGTCTAGATTTATCTATGATAACTGCAAACTTATATGTCAGTTTATATAATGCAACCACAGCATTTAAGTATTGATATTTGCGAGATAACTTACGTGAACTAGAGGACGCAGATTCGTTCCACCATTGATAAGTATCTGAACTTGGAGGCGGCACTAAATTAAATTCCATTAAGTTATTCTCAAATTTGTTAAAGAAGAATTTTCACGTCACGTTTTAGTACCTACAATCATTTAACATGGCAGTAGGTTCGTCGCAATCTATTATCAGCTCATCATTGCGTTCGTTATTGTTATAAGCTGGAGGAGAAGTTAGAATCTGTTTGGACGCGGTCAGCCCAGCAATCGGAGTAGACCCAGAAGAATATTTCATTTCTGAATATAGTTCTTGCATTATCTTTTCCTTAGCCACTTCATCGTACTTGACGATCTGTATTAGATTTAAAAAAAGTTAAAAAACTACATCATGATAAATTAAGTGAAAAAATTACTTGCCTCGATGTCAAATGAGCCCATTACTTTAAACGTAATCAAGGTATCAGCATTTGTATGAAATAGAATGAAACGAGCATTTTGCTTATTTGGTATACTAACCAGGCCTATGATCTGAGAGAAGTAACTCGGCTCTCGCGTAACTATTTTGAGAAATCTATAACCGTAGGAATGGAATAGACGTTGGCACGTTTTCACAATCAGCAACTAGCCATAAGTCTTACCTTGGTGCCACGGTACAAAATACGATCTGTCCACGCTGGTATTCTTTGCTTTTCGCTTCAAATAGTGTCGGCTTAATTGAAATACCGAAGAACAATAACAAACTGAGAACTAGCATACCTGGTGTCATAAATCTGGGTTCCATTATCATACTTATAAGTAGGCAGGAACGTTATATCTTCCTCGTGACAACCGTCAAAAACGAACCCCATTTTGCGCTGCACGTTAAGCTGTATGAAAACATGGAAAATGGTATTAAAATAACGTTCTTTATCTCGATAGTCAAGGGACCGACAGGATTTATTACAACTAATGCATTTTACGCGATGAAGAAAGCGAAAGTTACCTGGTCTGATCTCAATAACGCATCGAGGTTGCCCATGGCTGCAAGATTTCGAACCTATGGAACGATCAACTTGCGCTATGATTATTTATCTTCACATAACACATCAATTTTTATTAACTGACCTCATCGTTAAGCAGGTCGATTCTGTAGTTAAGATCGCCAAACCATATCACGTTTCTTGCAAACAGAGTATTTGTATGAGATCCAAGCCGACGAAGACAACTAAGTCGCATAAATTCTTTATACCTGAGTTCAGCAAGACGACCTTTTTTAAAAGTTAATCCACTATTAATAGTGTTGAAATCCCTGTTGCGTTCGGCAAAATTGGAATGTCCTACAATAAAGTTAACGATTTCATATCTAACTTAAACATTCGGATAGAAACGATAAAGCAGCAACATGAACGCAGTTCGTACCAGCAAAAAAATGGGTCGTAACAAAGCACAGATCAGTATCATAATAATCCATCTTTATAGCAACGGCCCCTTTGTTTCCGGCCATTCCTCCCAAGCCCGTCTGTATTATTTGAAATTTTTCTTCAATTAAGAAACGAAATCAGAAGTATCATTATCATTCTTCATCGTATTTTGGTCCATTTACCTTCTTTGTGGCTCCTTCAATATTTCTTATTGCAGGAACTACATCAGCTCTTGCATATATAATTAAAGCTGTGCCAACCAGTTGACTGGATCGTAGCAAAATATATTTATGTCTACTTGGATGTCTACCTAATGTATTGCTTATCGCCCTTTCCCATTCAACGCTAGCACGAAAAGAAAGAGGTAAATTTTAATGGTAAGAAAAGATTTCCGCATTAGTAGCATGAACTTACAGTTTCTCGGGGTCAGCTGATACTATCTAGCATCAGGAAACGAAGACGTTGGTATTAGCTGGATCTGATGGGTGAGCCAGTTGGACATAAATGCTCTATTTACCTGTTGGGGCTTTAGTTCGACAATTTCTTGGAATCCGATAACGTATAAATTTGGCGCTAATACAATTATGTGTTACCAAGAGACGATGGGAAAACTATTCTTCAATGCATCTACTAACCACCACCAAATGCGAATAGCCAATTATCAAGAGGCTCTCTTGAAGGTAACTTTCCGTTCAGATTATATGTACTGACAAACACATTTATTACAGATTTTGTAGAGAAATCGTGTAATCTGTCGACACAACGATGTTAGCATTCATCGAATGACAGTTGTAGATTGCAAAAATAGCATGACATGAAAAAGCACCTCTTTTGTATTTGCTCAATCACGAGTTCCCGTATTGGATCATGAATAATGATAGGCTTTTGATACTTAGCTTTACCCTATACTTAACTGTTAGTTTTTATAAGTAGATAACAAAGCATCAACGTCTGATTGAATTTATACGTACTAGTAAAAGATCAATGACTTCTTGTTTCGACTTATCCGCGAAGTTATTAATATAAAACCTATTCACACTCTTTGTAGCGTCATTAACAAGACCTAAGGCCAATTTTGATTAGTCCAATATATTAGACAACACATATTCTTCAGTGACTAAAAACGTACTGGTAAAAGTAAGTTTTCCACTGCGCGTATAATCAGTTTTTAGCGCCCCAGTACCAGCATATATCTTGGAAAGGCTGTCACCGTTCTCAGCCCATAAAAACGAATGTTGATCAAAGAGGAATTGCAGCTCGTAATTGTTGACGTATGAAATTTGGGCAAGATAGTTGTGTATTATTTTTTTCGAAACTTCACACTGTATAACGTTGGTTCTATAAAAAAGTTAAAATACACTCAGTACATTGATCGTCAGTTACATCACAAACGCATATAACAAACCTGTCCAAGCTAGTAAATAATAAATTATAAAGTGTTAATAGCAACTCTTCCATATAGTTAAGGAGATGACAAATGATTGCTTAATTAACCTTACCAGTCAATACAGTTAGTCCGAAATGCTCCACTTTGCATCAGCGTAGGTATCCTGCCCTCTCCACCCCACAGAAAGTAACCCATATCCTCCAAATCGTCTCGTATCATATTAATCAAAATCTCTATGTTCTCATAGCTTCCATTTTTACACATGGCATGGAAATCAAAATTACTAATACTAATCCGGCCCTCGGTCTGTCTCAATTCAGCTATTTGATTATTGTATTCTCTGCTTAAAGTCTCCTCACTTCCTTTTTGAGAGACTAGATTAATACAGTGAACATTTCCGTAACGATGACAAAGTTCACTGAAATGACGCTGGAAAGCTGGAAGTGTGGCGGCAGGACTACGTGTGACTTGGAGTTTGTGTGTGGTGAATTGGAGGCCCTTGATCGGTGGATAATAAGACTTGTTTTGTTACTCATAAATAAGTAAAAACGACGCTAATAAATGTGACAGATTAAAACGACACCGGATTAAAATACATTGAGAGTCTTCTCGAATCCTCTTTTAATGCCTCTGAAACCTACATATGACAAAATTTACCCCAAATCCTTAACCTGGAAAAATTGCTCCCCCCCCCCCCCCCCCAAAAAAAAAACAAACTTTTAATCTCATATTAAAATAGGTAAATTTCATCTTAATCCATCACAATTAATGCTCACAAGATTACACTAACGTTCAATTAGATCAATTTCAAGACTAGTAATTACCTGTTGCTCCCAGAATACTGGGATGCTCCCACGTACTTGAGTGTATGATAGTGACCACTTGTCTACATGCATTATGGTTTCCGTCTGTTCATTTCGGCAAGTTAGCTAGTCACAGTGTTAATCAGTACAGGGAGTTGTTAATACCAAAATTCGACATACTTCTACAAAATTAGCAACATTCCCATCGTCATCTATTCCTCGCGTAATGAACCTAGTCCCTAACAAATCATGTCGTTAGCACAACTACGATACAATAAACTGTGCCTCAAACTAGTACTTACCAGCACGCTTACAGCTTAGCTTTGATATTAGAGCTATTGACATATGCTCATCATGTGTTCTGGGAGACAATATACCAACATATCCTTGTATAGCCAAAACCTATATTAAAATAACGTGTCAATTCGGATCTGTGTCATGAAAACTCAAACAAATCTCAAATAAATTACCAAAAATCCACAATTATCCATCTCTCCTTTGTCCTTTTCTTCCAACTTTACTCTAAATCCCAATAATTCATTAATCATAAACTTATTCCACAAAAAATGCTCATCAAATAGATATTTGTCGACATGTGCCTCTCCTCTCCTACAAGATGTACCGAGTTGTTATAGTTGATGTCTAAATCATTTTATCTGGTACACCAAAATAAGACTGACCTAGCTTGTAGGGTACGTGTTAAATCAAAATCCGACGAAAAGTAAAAGCGGCCATTCGACAGAAGTTTTTTCAAAGAGGCACATGGGTGGGTTACATGAACTCCATTCTCATCTGTATACGATTTGGGCTTATTATCCCAAAAATCATTTGTCAGTGAATAGAATTCTACGTCCCGAATGCGATGGACTGATTCTCCCGGACTAACGTAGCCTACGGGCTCGCAATCAGTCACCACTTCGATAAACATGTCTATCAGAAGGTAAGAAAAGAAAGCGTTAATCTCACTCGATCTCACCGAATTTATCATAAATCCAGCCGTTTGACGTCTATGCAACCACTACCTACCATCCTCGACTTGCAGCAGTCCCAGACACCCATATACAGGCTTGGCAATCGCTTTTCTATAGTTCCTTCCGTTAAATTCCCTTCCATTTAACAACTTTACATTACATTGTGGTCTGTTCGAATCAAGCCCTCTTCCCTTCTCAAACACTAAGAACTGTTTTCTGACCGAATTGGTTATATGGTTTGAATGCAAGGCGACGCTTCTACCAGGGTGATCCCTTATATATAATATGGACTCCATTCCTGAATAGTGATAGGAAAAGGGATTAAATTCAGTTGGCCTGAATGATAAGGTCAGATATGGCAATTTTTCAAAATTGTGTAAACAGCGTTTACGTAACCCCTCGTGAAATTTTATTACAACACTTTCTTCTCGATTACACCACTCAAAATGCCAACGGCCACACCAATTTCCCAAAACACTGCAGTAATTGTTCACCCTTTGGTGTTACTGTCAGTAGTTGACCATTACAATAGAGTTGCAGAAAAGACGACAAACCGAGTCGTTGGTGTCTTGCTTGGACAGAATAATGGCAAGACTGTGAATGTGGCCAATAGTTTCGCTGGTGAGTGTGAAAGATTTCAACGGTTGGAATTGAATACAATAATCGAATTGATTAGTACATTAAAGACTGTCACATTCTGTTGATGTTTTTGCTTGATTAGTGCCATTTGAGGAAGACGAAAACGATCCATCTGTTTGGTTTTTGGATCATGATTACGTTGAATCCATGAACGATATGTTCAAGAAAGTGAATGGTAAGGTAAATGTTAATAAGACTTCGACTTCTTCGATCTCATCTTTCGATTTAATCTTATGATATACTTTATCACTTGTCTAAAAGCGCGAGAGAAAATGATTGGTTGGTATCATAGTGGTCCTAAACTTCGTGCATCTGACTTGGAGATCAATGAACTTTTCAAGAGATATACACCGAACCCCGTTCTCGTGATTGTTGATGTAAAACCAAAGGACATTGGTATCCCAACAGACGCGTATTTTGCTATAGAGGAAATTAAAGATGTAAACATGCGCAATCTTTTACTTGATACATTATGCTACCTCTGCGATTCGTATTAAAGCTCTTTTATTTAGGATGGCACAGCGACAACAAAGACTTTTATGCACGTCCCATCTCAAATTGAAGCAGAAGAAGCAGAAGAAATAGGCGTTGAGCATTTGCTGCGTGACATCAAGGACAATGCAGTTGGTACACTCTCCACCCGAGTAACTGATCAGCTGAATTCGGTCAAGGGACTCCAATCTCGCTTAGAAGAGATTAGACACTATCTCCAGAAAGTAGTCGACGGCAAACTTCCGGTCAATCATCAGATTATTTACAATCTTCAAGATATATTCAACTTACTACCTAATCTCAATGTTAATGAAACTGTGAAGGCTTTCTCTGTAAAGACTAATGATCAATTGTTGGTTATCTATCTGAGTTCTCTCATTCGAGCAGTCATTGCTTTGCATAATTTGATTAATAACAAGATTGAGAATCTGAAAGGAGAAATTGTTGGACAGATTGAAGATGATAAAAAGGAAGAAAGTAAAGAAGTTAAGGAAGAGAGTAAAGAATTAAAGAAATGAAGTATACTGACGACGTTTGCAGTCAGTTGTGATGAAGTAGGTTATCACGTGAACTGATTATAGGTAAACGTGACAAAGGTTCAGGAATGAAAACCAATGAAGGATTATGTTTTACGAAGCTAAATCAATTTTGTCAATTGTGGACGTATAGATAGTTCTAAAATATTTTCTTTGAACGACAAAGGGGTAAGGTCCTAAGGAATGGTGAATTCGTAATTAGAGATGCCCATTTGTCTAGAATTTTTCTTTCGAGATTAATTCGTTGGTTGAAGCATACATACTAGTACGGAGAGTGGAATAATTCATTGTCTACATATTAATTAAAATACACATTCAAAAAATAGTTAAGAAATACGAAAACTTTCCAATCAACAAAACTAACTTTCTTATCCGGCAGACAGATATTAATATCGTTCGAATAGTCTGTACGGTTTTCGCATATTATGCTACGAACTTTTTATGATATAGCTGAGACAGTTATTTAATCCGAATAAGGAGGATATCGGGCTTACTACACATATCAGGGATTTATATAACTTCCTTGCTTTGGTTAATGTATGCAAGAAATATTCGTAAATACAGAGTGTCACAAAAAAAAATTGGCCAAACTAAGTTCGCGAATTACTCAACAACTAACATATCAATTTTTCTGTAAAAAACTCTAGTTTTATTTACATAAACCTTATTATTTTTAATTATAAGTGCACATGAATTGACGAAATCAATTATAAAATTATTCGGAATTTGCATTTCACTCTTCTATCATAAACTGTTATAATTCAGTCAGATTGTGTGTTTTTTGACAATAGCCACAAATTTCTATTGGATTTAAATCGGGTCGATTACTTGTGGAATATTTTCCTTGAGGAATTTTTTGGCATAGTGACTTGTATGCTTGAGATCGTTGTCTTGCTGGAGCCTCCAAGCATTTTTGGAGATTGTTTTTCAAGTATTTCATTACTGCGTGAAGCAGAGTAAACTCATTTTCCCCCTAACGGAAAATCCACCCCAAGAAAAAACTTCTACACCTTTAGCGTTCACTCATAGGTGTAGACAATAAAGAACGCAAAACTCCAAGAAAAAACTTCTTGTCGGTCGTTTGGTTAGACGCCGACTCTTGCACCAATGCTTAATTGTATTTCGAAATAAACGAAACGCAGTTTCGTCACTGAACAAAGGTTTCCCCAAGATTCATTAGTATGTTTCTCAGCCCATTCAACGCGTTTTGCCTTGTGAGCTTCCGTTAACGTGGGCGTTCTGACTGGCAACTGGTTTTGTAACCCAGTTTATTTATAATGTCTTTTTATTGTAAGATAACTTATATTTTACGTCATATTTAGAAAGATTCATAGCCAAATCCCTCTTTGAATAAATCGACTGAGAATTCGCTGCTGTTGATGTACCCTTTCAACTTTTTAATGTTATGTTTATAATAATAGAGAGCGGAATGTTAGTTGATTTATGAATTTCTTGTGCATTGCACACGCTCTCATTAAAAAAGTGTAATATTGTTTGACGATGCGCTTCTAAAAGCGAGGATGTCATGTTCGAAGCTTTAATATGGATGCTATCAGCAAAAAATTATACTGAATAAAAGAGAAAAGACAAGCACGTTTATATGTAGTTAAGTATCATACGTGTTTGTTTACATGCATAAGAGTTTGCGTTTTTAATCGCGTTTACACTTGGCCAAAACCTTTCTCATATAACAATGAGACTTAATAAGAACGTTGGCATTTATAATCGAGCGTCAGTAGATACCACTAGAGAAAAACGTGAACATATGATCTGAAAGATGTGATCGTAGACACATTTAGCGCAAGAACCCACAGCATTAAAATTTGTCAGTCTGTAGTCTTAATTTAGTTTGTAATGACCGTAGCTTCACACATGTCATTACAGTATTCATTCAGCAATCAAAAACAAAAAGTCGGGTTGTTTTTCATTATGTTTTTAAAGCTATTTTCTTTCACGCTGTTCAAACTGTATGCACAACTAGCGTCTATTCAAGATTATGTTCATTAATAAAATAGACAACTTGTCCTTATTACGCTGGCGGATAAATTTGTGTTATTATGGATTATAATGGCACTGTGGTGCGGTTCTAACTAATTAACTAAAGGTAGGGGCTTGGTGGATTACAATTGCATAATTGTCTACGTAGCGAGGAGAGGAAGACCCGATGAGCTTCCCGCGGTCTAGTCCACTGAACTACGAGATGAGAAATATTTTGAATGTATCCACCTCGAAATTTATATAAATATATACACCGTTTATAACTTTAATCTGACTTTATGACTCAACTATAAAAACTGTTTCCCAGGGAAACGATCAAAATCATGTGACTCAGTAAAATGAATTCTTCAGGTAAGAAGCTCATACATATTAGGCTATTTTATATATAGCTTTACTATATTATATGCGAATTTCTAAAGATTATAAGAATACGGTTATATTTTAAACGACAGAAATTGAATTTCGTAATATATAGGTCAAAGAACGCTAAAACATTAAAAAATAGCTAAAATACTTTATTATGAATATGATGGGTATTGATATTATTGACAAGAAAAATAAAACATAAACCGTTTAACTTTGATAGGATAAAAATATGATTTATGTACACAGAATATTTATTGCAATTTTCAAGTAATGTCCAAAGCTATCATGAAAATAATGAGGCGGTTTGTTTTCCTTAATTTTTTACCATTTTCAAGTTCACTCGATTATCGAAATATATCTGCACAGAACTAGAACCAAACCAATTCCACCAACTAAATAAATTCACCATTCTATCAAATTCTCGTCTTCCCAACTCTTGATTATATTCCCGTCAGTAATTCATTTCCCCAGTGGGGTCAGGCCCTTGGCCATATGCAAAGGATCGATAACAGTTATCAAGTGAATAAAAATGTGTCTTCGCCCTAAGTTTACTAGACATTCCTATAGAAAACGTAATATGTTAAATAAAATTTAAACATTATAGTACTTTCATACCTGAAGTCCAAAACCAATTCTGAACTATCCAATTATTTTCCAGGGCCCTTTCTACCAAGGTACAAGGGTGTATAATCACGATCTCCAGTAACCAGAATTAATATACCAGGGTCATTAGTAGTAATAGTCTTTACTGCACTAACTGCAAGCTTTATTATTATATCGAATTCCTTTTCACGATGTGATATAGGATCCCGATCAAACACAGTAACTTCATACCCTTGTTCTTGAATATTAATATGTCTCCATATAGAATCATTCAGTGGAGGACGTAAGCCAACAATAACAGGAGCACATCCCAGTTTATGTCCATGCTGAACAGTTTTAAGAAGTCGACCATAATCAATACAAAGTTGACTAAAGTAATTATAATGTGTATTTCTTTCGTAATCAAAATGAACCAAGGTGTTCAAGGTTGCCAACGGTATATTTTCCCTCAATAGTAATAGTGATATTAGAGTTGTCGACAAAAAATGTACACAAGATCATTAGATTCCTTATATTTTGGAAGAAATGCTTTTGAAATTTCTTTAACCAAGTGTGCAACTGTTATTACTGGACAAAGCGATAGCCCAATATTTCTGAGCTTTTCTTCTGTCAATAAAAGGAAGGCTGAACCGGAAATACTGTTCCTATTGATTATATTAATGTCAACTTCTTCAAGTTCTAACTTGTCTTTTTTGGACTCCAAAAAATTAATAACTTGTTCCTTCTTCCATTTCTTGATTTCTTCGACAAAAGGAAAATGTTTTTTGGTATTATCATAGCCCAGGTTGCTTTTTTGAAATTTTGGACACTTGAGAAACTTTGCCAAATTGGTTAGCAAGCTTAATATTAATCCTTTTTTGTGATGGCCATCTGCATAACATCGTATAATAATAAATGGGCGAAAGAAAAGCATCGTGTTAAGAAATCAATTATCAGCTTTTTTTACTGCTAGTCGTTAGCCAATCATATTAGCCTAGATTCCACGTTTCTTCTGTGCATTTTATTCCATTTTTTAACGTTATTCGATAAGACCTAATTCTCGAAGGTGTCTCGGAATAACTACATACGGGTCTTCGTAATACCAGACATACCTTAAAACGATCCAATTTTCTTCGCACAATTCATTCTTGAGTTGATCCCGTGCTTGCTGTTTAATAAAATTATTGGGATCGCCTTCGTGATATTTTTCGTGTTGTACTCCTTGGATTTCTATAGCCAGACCATATTGTGGGTAATAAATGTCACGGATGATGCTGAATCCCCGTGACCGATTTTCTGTTACGCGGGTACCGTGGCTCATATCTCAAAAATCACGACATAAATTCTCACGTTTATGCAAACGACAAAATGAACACCAATTATTTTGATTTTTAACTTCACATCCCATGTATGCCCTTTGGCACATTTCCATAATAAATCTGAATAGTTATTAAAATATGAGGTAGAGAGATACTCACCATTCCGGCTAAATGCAATTTTCTTGGCTTGATCAATATTACAAGCATATCGTCCAGAAATGGGGACACTATGAATTTGCATTTTTAATGCTATTGAATATTGCATTCTATTTATGCCCTTTAGAACAATGCCACAATAAAGCTGTCATGCTATTAATATATTTTTAGAAAGACATTTCCCATTTGTATCATGCGCAATTTTTCTAACATCTTCAAGGGTATATCGGGATCTACCTCCTACACAATGTGGACACCATGTGTTTTTATTTTTTATACTATCGAGACTTAGACTAACATTCCATCCATGACTTACAGTGCATAATAATAATGACTTACCATTAATGAATTTTTCAGAAAGACATCTTCCATTTCTAGCATGTGCAACTTTTTAGCATCTTCAAGAGTACAAGGCTTAGGCTTTCTATTAATACAAACATAGGGGAAGTCACATATGAAAGTCCGTATATTAATATGGGGCAGACTGCAACAAAACCAGACAAAGTGAACATCCTGGCTGATTATGATGTGGCTGTAAAATTGACTGATGACGTTTTGAAAAGTAATTGTGAACGGCGATTTGATCATATGATTGCTGCGGTACTGAGATAGAGTAGCTCAGTATGATGATCATTTCGAATGCGGTACCGAAATCTAAGTCCGAAACACAAATTTATATTCTTATATTTTATTGGACATTAATTAACTGCGGTAGTTAGAAATTGGTTCCAGAAAGCTTAAATACCCTCTGTCCCCGACGCTGTCTCAGCATCATGTCATGGTCATCATGATCACTCAATGACTTGAAAATAACTAATAAAATATTTCTAACTCTTATTCTGATAAAAACGATAATTATAATTCCAACCGACTTATGCACATGATCGACATTGCATATGGACCCTGAATCGACGATCTATCACGAAACCTCGTTAGACTTCGGTCATAAAACTTGGTTAACTTATCGCAAGCGATTCAATATTAAAAACGATCCGTTCGATCTAGAGACTAATAAATGCAAGTTTCGATCTTAAGTCTCCTGAAGTGACAATCATGAAGAAGGAG